CAATATCTTTAATCCTATCCCATTGATCATCTCGTAAAGCATATCGGCGCATATAAAATATTTTTTATTTTTCTATATTATACTCTAATATTTCTTATTTGTTAATTCAATTGATGACACAACCTAGATTCCTATTAGTTTATTTGTGATATTTACAATACGTTTACCAAACAAGATTGCTGTTTCTTTATCACCTACTGGCGGCACAATATCAGAAGATGATTTGTGATTAGATTGCGTCATAAGACCAGAGTAACTACCAAGACGATTAATACGATCAAATGTTGGCATCTCATTATCCCCAAATTGTGGTGCCTTTTCCACTTGTCCCTACCAAAATCATACCATGTTGCATAGCAAAATGAAATATTTGTTGAATGCTGACAAGCTTATCTCCAGAATATGAACCAGAATTAGTAAATCCAGCTGCAATCTTATTTTCCCATTTTTTCTCAGCCCATCTTTTAGATGTAGAATCTATAAAAACTGTAAATGGTCCTGAAACACTAGCCATGTAAGTAGGAGCACCAAAAATAATGGCATCCGCTGTATCAAGAAGAGTCCACTCATTATCCTTCAATCTACTACTTGTTGTAGCTAACTCACACTCTGTTCCTTTTTCATTATAACCCCTCTTATTTGAATTAAACTACATTCCCCTTTCGCTTCCAATACTCCTTTAGATATTGCTTCCGCTACTTTAGCGGTATGACCATATCCACTATGGTATATAATTTGTTACCTTAGCTACCATACTCACCTAATAATTATTTTATAAGCTTTATATTAAATATAATAGTTAGTTTTTTATTGCAACATATTAATTAATAAATCTTACTAATTTATAAAATAATAGATTAGTTGTAACATAACTAATCTATTAAGTAACTACTTAATTATAAGTCTGTAGTCTGCTGACAATTACCATTATAATCACTATAGAAGCTAATACCAGTAATAGGAACTTCTACTACATCACTATTTACAAAATATGACTCATACAGATCATCATATAATGCTTCTGTACTTGTAGCATGCTTTACCTTTTTACCTCGATTACCTTGTTCCATATCTGTAGAATCACCTTCATAAGGCTTAAATTCTCCTGTATCATTACCACTTTTAAATAAATTAAAGAATGAAGATTTTATCTTTTCTGAAAAAATTGAAAGACTCTTCTTCATACCCTTCTCTATTTTACTTTCCTCTTTTACTACATCATTCCAAGATTCAATTTTGGATGAAGATATATTAAATTTCTCTCTATAAAAGGCCATTTTTCCTTTAATATCAATTGGGTTATTATTTTGATCAAGCAAATTTTTATTATTCCAATTATTAACCCATCCTACAAGATCACTAGCGGCATTTTTAAGAAAACTACTAGCATCCTTAACAACATCTTTTACATTACTAATAAAAGAATTATAGTATGGTAAAAATGATGTTTGAGTATCTTCAATTACATCTTCTTTTACATCTTCAATAAATGACTGAATATCTTTTAGAATAGGAGATTTAGAACTTATATCTTCTGATCCTCTATTAGGATTAGTTAAGTCATTAAGAACTACCCTTTGTGGATAATTCCAAATCTCAACTTTATCCCAATCCCATACTTCATCATCTAATGTTTTTGCGCTTGCAAATTTTAGATCTAATACCTTCTCATCTTGCTTCTGTATAATAACTGTATAATATGCTTTTTCTTGAAACCCCCCTAATAAGTCAACTTCAGTATGTTTTGTATTTTGAGAAGAAACCCAAGAAAATTCATCTTGAACATCTTTTGTCCCAGTTTTAAAAACACTATTTCTTACACTCTTTTTTAACCTATAAATAAATTCACCCATATTTTCCATGTCCTATATTGCAAATTAACTAATATATTTTATATTATAATATAAAAATTACAATAATAATATTTAATATTTATTACTTATTATTAGTAAACATATTTTCTATTTAACATATTTCTTGAACATAAAATAATTTATGTAAGTAGCTCTAAATTAGATATAATAATCTATGCCATTTTATTACTTAGGAAATATTTTAAAATGCTAAAAAACAAAAACACACCCGATTCGGAACAAATACTAGCTAAAACAGCTAAGAAACATCATTTAACCTTATATGATAAATATACTATTTTTATAGGAATAGCTGGACAGTCTATGCATTATATACAAGCTTACAAAATATTTTCAACAAAATCTTCAGCTGACATTTCTTTATTAGCTTATTTCATTTGTTTATTCCTATTAGTTAATTGGCTTATTTACGGCCTTGTAAAAAAAGCAAAAGCATTAGTTTATGCAGAAACCATTGGTATCTTTGGTGTTATACTAATTATTAGTGGAACATTATTATATTCATAACCATATATAATTAATATTTACCCTATAAATATTAATTACAATAAATTTAATTTGTTGACATACATTTATTTTTAATGCAACATCTTAATTTATATAAAATAAATTAAAAATTTAGCATTCTATTAATATTTTCTATATCTAGTACTAATAATTATTTACATATTTTAGAGGTTAATATGAAACAACATTCTACTGTAACTCAACTAGAGCCAGTTATAAATCATGCGTTATTACCAGCTATTAATGATCCAACATCTAGCAATTTCACAACACTAAATGATACAGATAATATTAATACTAAATCATTATCTCAAAAAGAAGCATCTTTAATAAGGGTAAAAAAATGTATAGAAAGCTCTTTATACAGAATCTTACAAGACATATCTAATGAACACTATTTAATTACACAAATTAATAGTTCACAAGGAATTAATGATAATATTAAAAAATACTTCGATGAATTATTACAAAACCCAGATAGATTAAAAATAATTCTTGATCTCCCTACTCTTAATTCAGACAAAATACTACATACAAAATTATATTCTATGATTATCCAAAATGAAGAAATACCAGATGAGTCGATAGAATATTTAGCTAACTTAGTTCTTATCTCTGATAATATAGATAGACTACTAAATATTAATTTATTAGATGATGATTCTCAGGCTACTGGTTATACTCCTTCATTATCTAATTATTCATATGATGAGGCTAGTACTTTAGTAGATTATCCATATTATAATTCCTTATATAGCTATCCAACATCTACCTATACAGAAGACACACATAATGATTTAGATATATTAAAAAAAATCCAAAAAGGATTAGAGTCAACTATAGGCAATATAGCCTATGATTATAATTTAACATATCATACTAACCAATATAACGCTATAGAAAAATATTTTTATGAAGTTTTTAAAAATTTAACAAAACTAAAAAAATATTGTAACATACCTATGCTTAAAGAAGATAAAATAGAACTATTTCTTATGTCTAGCCAAAATAAAGAAATACCATATAAATCACAGCAATATTTAGCTAGTTTACTTGATGATGATGATCGTAACTATATTTTTAATAAATTAGAATCAGAACAAGAAGAAAATATGGACTATTACTCCCAGCTTCTAAATTATAACCCCTTACTTGACGATACTAGCTCTATTTCATCTCTTAGTGGAGACAGCGATTTAAGTGATTTTAAACATGAAGTATAATTAATAAACTAAATATAGACAATAAATTATTAAATTAATTGCAACGTTTTCCCGAGTTTGACAGTTGGTCATGAAGAAAGCAAGGATGGATGAGGAGTTGAGGGCTTAATAGTGTTTACAACAAAATATGATTTGTTTACAATCATATTAGTTAAAATTTTAAATTTTGCTAT